GTGTGTGTGTTTAAAAGAGTGCAAGTGAAATTGTGAAAGTGTTTGTATTTAACCCTTATTTCACCAGGTAAGTTGACAAACAGCTTAAGTTTTACTCGTCCTGTTGAATCATCAACTGGTGCTGGTGGAAATTGAACAGCTCCACTGGAGTGATCACTGCTTTCCTCAAGGCAAATATGATATAAATAAAAGTCGACCAAAATGAAACGTCCTGTTACCTTTCAGAGAATTTAATTTAGATATTGTTGGAAACAGTTTGTATCATGTGAGAACACAAGCCAACTTAATATATAACATAGATTTAGTCAGTTTCAGACAATTTAACGAAGAATTATCGTTTAATAAGACAGAGAGAGAGTCTGACTCCTGTTTAGAATTAGTAAAGCAGAGGAAAAAATATCTTCTACAATTCTACGCCCTTCCACTACATATAGTGTATAATTGGACCTTTCAATAGATGTATTTGTTTACTCCTGACTTGTGGCTGAGACGCAGAAACTCAGAAATAAAAAACAACTCCATCCCTACTTTCAGGATGCAAAATGTGAGAGTACAAACATTCGTTCCTCTCCCAGAGTTTCTTTCTGTAGTCACTGCCAATTAAACATGACCGTTCCCATGTATCCTCTTTAGAAAAAGCACTGTTGTGAACTGTAGCTGCGGCAGCGCCTCAGCATCTGTGCGCCGTCTTCGCTTGTTTGTTTTTGTCTCCCTCCAACTGTCTCCGTCTCTGTCTCGCTGTGTCAACGATGAATTGGTTTCAAAGTACTTCTGCAGCATTAGAGCTGATGGCTGCTCTAAATGCTTATTAAAGATTAAAATAGTCGGCCAGACCAGAGCCGTCCGTCTTTGATGTGTCTTTGAAAAACTGAGAATTAGAGACGGAGAGAGGGGCAGAGAGACAATGAGAGATGATGAGAGATGGGAACAGAGAGAGAGAGAGAGAGAGACAGCTGCAAGCTACAATTTAATTTTTGATCCAAACCAGCAGCAACTGACACACACTTGTATGCGTTGGACACTTGTAGGTCACAGACTGTTTCCTCTCTCTCTCTCCCCCTCTCTTCTCTCTCTCTCTCTCTCTCTCTCTCTCTCTCCTCTCTCTTTCTCTCCCTCTCTCCCTCTCTCCCTCTGTGCAGCATGTGTGTGTGTGCGTATGCATGCAATGCTGTGCAATCAGCTGTGCAAGCTGCCTGGGAAATGTGCCGAGTTGACAAAAACAAAGCAGTGTGTGTCTGCTCATGTGTGTGTGTGTTTGTTCCTGTAATTATATCTTTGTCAGGACCATTTGAAGCATAGACCTTACAGAGTGAGGGCATTTAGTTTGGATGGTTGAGGTTAGGGTGAGGGGCTAGGGAGTGCATTATGTCCTCACAAAGATAGCAATACAAACATGCGTGTGTGTGTGATAGAGAGAGAGCAACAACCTGCAGTCGCTTCAGTCAAACTCTTGTTATATTTATAACGAGCAGTCTCAGTCTTTACATGCCTGCCGCACTGCTGCTGCTGCTGCTGCTGCTGCATGTCTCTCTGCTCACTCAGTCATCAGAACACCTGGGATTTCTGCCTCTCACATCTGACCTTGGTACAAAGTGAACACCACCGAGCTGCACTAACACTGTAACACACTTCTCACTGTGCACTGCCAGCCACAATCTTTCCCTTTAACTCTTTAAAGCTGCAGTTTTGGGGCCACCAGACAGAAACAAGCTGATACACATACAACCCACAGGCCACATGTTGGTCAACATATCTACAGACAGATACCTGTTTACACATCACACTGTGACAAAGAGCAGCATCAAGTACAACAGTGATTCCAATATTCTTTTCCCTTTTAGTGATGTTTTTGTCTCCACTAATTTGTATCTGGTACTGCGCACCTCTCTTTGTTAGAGGTCCTAACCTCTAAATCCTTAGAGTTTCTGATGCATGATGTTTGCAAGTTATTTTTCATTCTTTACACTGCCAGAACAAAACATCCATGTGGATATGAGACTTTCTATTCTCAGAGAAAACAGGCAAGGATTTCATCAATGCTTGAAAATGAACATTTGACCCAATAATGTCAAGTCTTACTGACTGCGTTGTATTTTTCCTGTGTCCAGGACTGCGAGGTGCGTGGGAACAATTTACAGTCAATGCAGCAGGGCAATATTATCGAACTCTTGAAGAGAAACTGACAGCTGCTTGAAAAAACACAAACCTGACTGATATATATGTGGGCAAAGAATGAGAAGATAATCACTGTGTGTCAACAACTGATTGATTTAATGGAACGATCTTAAATCTCTGGCTCTCTGTTGCTCATCAACTTTCTTTACCCTTTCTTCAAAATTCTAGATAGCAGGATAGTAAACACAAGATAAACAGATAATCTACAAATTTACTTTTCAATTTACGTGTCATCAAAATACATTTCAGGATGTTAGGACTGCATGCGAAAACCAAAAATTTAAATGTTACAGATAATCTAAAAGAGTTCTTGTATTTTATTTGCTGTTTTTATAAGTTCCCAACAAACAACGTTTAGCAGGGATCCTGTTCTCTTACAGCACTTGAATATAAAGCATGTTTCTTTTGATTTGTAATTTTATCATTCACAAAATTCAAATGATGTTTGTCCACATGTGAGCATGTTTAAACAGCATTCACAAGACTGTACATTCACATAAAGATTATATTAAATGTATTTCTGAGCTTTAAGTTGGTATATTTTTGGGTTGTGACTGGAGTTTGACCCTGTTACTCCCTCTACCTCCTCCTCCCGAAGCAGTCATGACTAATGCTTTAAAACCGGGGATGAAAAAATACCCTGGATGGGGTGTGTGTGTGTGTGTGTGTGTGTGTGTGTGTGTGTGTGTGTGTGTGTGTGTGACTAACCTTTATCATGGTGGTGGAATCGCAGGCTGAGCGCCTCTCTTCGGCTGTGACCATATGAGCTCTCCAGCTCCGCAGCTGAAAAATCATCCAGTTTGACTTTCTTCACCAAGAAAGAGCGAGGCATGATGGGACAGTAGTTTCTCCTATACTCATACAAAACACACTAACACTTCCTCCTTCTACACTAACCCTCTTTCAAGTTGACCAAAAACGCTAAAATCTGAAACGCCTGATTGAACTCTAATGTTCTCCCATCAGACTGGCTGGAAAGTGCAGAGGAGACATGGCGTTTAAAGAACAAAGTCAACAAGCGCTCCTCACGTGCTTGTGTATCTTTATCATACCTAACCCTGAATGTTGCTTATGTTGACCTACAGGCTATGATTGTGTGTGCGACTGATGGAACCTATGAGGGAAAAGAAAAGTCGGTTTTCATTCAGATGTCTTGCAGCTGGAAGACCTGTGGAGCTCTGAAAAGGTCAAAAATATATATATTTTTAAAGTGAAATCGAATAATTCCTGTATGGCTAAGTTCCCCTGTAAGACGGGGAACCCAGTAAAATGTTCTTTTCTCTTCTTTGCTTGCTTTCTTCTTCATACAGAAAAAATTCGAGTTGATTTTATGCCGTTGGTCTTCAGCACTTCCAGCGAACAGCTCCCGTGCAGCCTCGTGGTTTCAGCACCGGACAGCTCCCGTCGTCGTTCCTCCGTCAAACCTGCCGCTGTTCTTTTCAGCACCGGAGGAAGAACGAGAGGAAGAGAAGGAGAAACGACTTCTGACGGGAAATCCCATTCAGGTGAGTCAGGTGACCTCAGTGGGATTTGTTGCTGCTGATGTTGTTGTTGTTGTTGTTGTTGTTGTTGTTGTGGACAATAAACCCCTGGGTGCACTGATGTCTCCAAAGCCAGCAGAGAGTCGGTCAAAGAGAGAGGAAGGTTAGAGACGTTCGAGCGGAGCGATGAGTCAATGAATCAGCATCACGTCTTTTCTCGTCATCACGTGTAGTCCCTCACACACACACCGATCAAGAATATGAAAATAAAAAAGCCTCAGATGGAAGACAGGAACAGTTCATCTCCGCGTGACTAACTCTCTCTCCTCCAATCTCTCTCTCTCTCCTTCTCTCCTCGGCGCGTGCGGAGCTGCGGCTCTCTCTGATGCACGAGATCAGCTGTTGCCGCTTTATAGGGAGGGAGAGAGAGAGAGAGAGAGAGAGGGAGGGAGAGAGAGAGAGAGAGAGGGATGGAAGTGCCTAATTTTATTCGTCAGAGGAAAAAAAAAAAAAGAGCATCTTGTCTTGTGGGACCAGCAGCAGCAGCGTGTTGTGATGTGTGAGGGGAGGAGGGATTTTAATCGTGTGGTTTCATGTGCTCGCTCACGCTGATTTTTTTGGGCAGTAAAATAAATATGTAATAATAATAATAAAACTTTATTTATATAGCACTTTTCAAAAACAAGTTCACAAAGTGCTTCACAAATATAGACACAATTACATACACATAAGACATGAGAAATCTAGATGAAAGCAATATCATAAAAATGAGTCTTTAAACGAGATCTCAAAGAGGACGAGAGGTAGCTCTCTGATTCAGTGGAGGGTTGTAGACTAAATGTAGACTTTGTTGGTTTGGGGGCAGAGAGCATTTGTGAAACAGCATAAGCTATAGAAAGGATGTGAGTTGTTCCACTGCAGTTGTTGATGACATGTATGAGGATCATGATCATGATCAGAAGGTTGGTGGTTTGATCCCAGACACCTCCAGTCTCCTTTCTGTAGTGGACACTAAATTTCCCTTGATGCCTGTGCAAACAGTGTATGTGAATGATGTGTGATAGCGGAACCCCCCTCGTATCAAAGTGCTGTATGAACATGTGTGTGAATGCGACATGAAATGTAAAGCGTGATCAAAGACGGTAAATAAAAGTCAAACTGCATGGGGAGAATATGCAAACTCCATACTGTTTGGCGCTCAGGTTTGAATCCAGAAGCCTCCTGCAGCGAGGCAGCTGGCCATGGAGAAAAATCCTCAACAAAACAGGTAATCATTCAAGAATACAATGTATTATGCATTTGTTCGTTGGTTTGCATCCTGCTTTTATCAAGCACAACCTCAGAGTCACTAATGTGTCTAAACTATGTTCATTATGAAACACAAGCTCCAAATATTGACAACTCCCTCAGTCAATGCTTTTAAATAAGTGTCTAAACAACAGTTAGATAAGTGGAAATTTGCAGGATGACCTATTTCTGCCCAAATAAACAGTGAAAATAAAGACGTGCCAGGAACTGCTGCTTTACCCTCCCACCTAATGATCACAGCCTTCAGAGGGACCAAGAACCATCAAACTAACCAAAAGCAACTTCTTGTGGCACTGAACTCAGGTCATTTCCCTGCATGTGTAGAATTACCTTTATTCAAATCAGCGAGCCCCCTGGGCCAATCAGATCCCTCCATGTGTGAATCCCCACTCAGCATCAACCAGTGAGTTGAGTCAATGGAAGTGACCCAAAGGTGTCTTTTGTTCAGTGGTCTCAGAGTCAGAGAAGCAGAGACAATGTCAGAGCTTCAGGTCACAGAGTGTGTGTGTGTGTGTGTGTGTGTGTCAGAGGACGGGGACATGGTACAGAGTGAATACGCTCTGTTACGTTGTTTACACACTTATACAAACCGAATTCTCCCTCCAGCCAGTAGACAACACACACACACACACACACACACACTTATGCAAAGCCCTACCCCCATTCATTCACATCCAGTCGGGCAGGATGATGGTGTGTGATGTAATTCAGTGACGTGTGCATTTATGTAAGATCTTTTCAGTGAAGTCCTTGGAGTTAACCTATTTTAGTTCATTGATAAATGTTTGAGAGACACAGAGAGGATGCCTGTGTATGTGTGTGTGTGTGTGTGTAAAGGAAACCACATTCCCATGGAGGGTGGAGTGAAAGGGGGGAGTTTTAGTGGTGGTGGGTGGGTAGTGAATTTGGATTCCTTTGGCCCGGCATTGTGATCCTGCCTGCAGATTAGT